GAACTCACTAAAAGTTATTCCGTGACAAAGGTTGGAGTCTCATCGTTATTTACTCAATTTGTCAAATAATTCCTTACCTTAACCCATAAAATATCCCACTTATTGGTCAGAAAAATATTTTCTATTCATTATCGAAATCTTTCATCATCGCAAACAAACTTTTCGTTTCCTATTTTTCAAATATTTTGGCTTAAACAATGAAGAAAGACTTTTATTGGAATGAAAAATGGATAGATTTACCGATCGATTGATCCTTGTAATCTTTGATCGCAGTTGAAGGAATCAATGTGTTTAACTGTAGTATTAATAAGATACAGTCAAAGTCATGTAGCATAGTTCTAATCCGATTATATGCTTAAACGAGACTTTCTGCAGATGGTTGAAATTAGCGGAATCATTTATCTCGATATTCCGGTCAACGTATTCCGCTGGTTAAGCTATAGATATACACGTCAAAGCACTTTTTTTACTCACGTGAAGCTTCCGGAAAGGCACCTTACTGTACGTCAGTACTATACGGTAATCGACATATCTTTCCACCACGTTAACTAGCTAAAAATTTAGCAAGCAATGAGTCAGAAGACATTGGAAAATATCATAGTCGGAAGAGTAGAAAGAACAAGATGGATGAGTCATGCCAATTTCTTCCACTTTTTTCAATAATAAAAGCAAAAAAATATGATGACATGTCGTGTTTTCAGTATTAAATTGGTAAAGAATGAAATGAGTGGCATAAAGATAATGTCTTTTATTAAAAATTTACTTTTAAAATGGGGACATATTATGATTGCAATATGATATCAATGTAATCAATGCGTTCCGAATAAGCCTTTTAAAATGTCCTCACTGCTTTCAACTGTTTTACCTGATTTTTCATAATTATTGCTTCCTTTATTCTAAGGTAAGGAGAAAACGATTGTAGGATAATAGAGATTGCTAAAAATTGTTCACAGTATTTTCAGGTAAATACTTTTTCTGTTAAGACAATTTTTAATAAATGTTTCATCTACTTATATAAAAGTTTTTGAAGCATCAGCAGACCGCTTAAGAATTGTAAAAATAACAGTGTTGTAGATAGAACTATTTCTTAGCGTAAATATTTGTTTCCTTAATTTTCCCTTTCTTAATGAGTAAGTGAAATGATCAATGGAGCATATCTTTTAAAGAATTATTGAAAAAGAAATATGGAGAAAGACTTCAAAAACATGCTGGAAGAGCGCATCCGGAAGCATTACTTGATTTACTCTTTACCTTTAATTAATTTTAACTTTTTAGTTAAATGACTTTCATTTATGTTAAAGACAAGAAATATTATAAAATTTATAGCACATCTCATTCAACAATTTTGATGCAAACAACAAAAATAGTAAACAAGCAGTGCCAAGTGTAACGCTTTTCATTTCCCGTCTAATCTAAAAATCTTCCTACGGTAATCTCATTACTACTTGATCATTTACTTAACAAGGGAGTTTTAAGAATTCTTACGAAATTGATCTAACAAAGTGTAGGGATTTAAGTGGATGCTACAATATGTTGACTATACGATATGTGGGAGAAGAAGCAAGATATCTTGAAGGTAATTAAACAAATGAAATCTTTGGAATAAATCATTAAAGCATAGAATTTATTTGAATATAACAACAAAAAGTTCCTTGCAAAATCATTAAGCTCCTTTTAACCGTTTGAAGTTGTAGATATGGAAGAAATTTCTCATTCTTCGATAACACCTTGTCCACTTTCTGCTTAATTTCATTTTTCGCTGGAATTACATATGTAAATTCTGCTTTCATTAAGAGCTTAATGATAGAACAGCTCATTATAATGTCCTAGCATAAGTGACTAGATGAAGAACGTATAGTTGAGTGTTATTATTACAATTGATATCATTCATTTCGAAAAAATCCAAGTTATTGCTAACAGCTGATAACTTTTGTAATCATTTTATCTCTTATCTATTATTTTGTGATGTGCATGCGCTTACTTTTCCGCAAAATATTTGCATAAAGATAAAGTGCTGATAACATATTTACTCCTATGTTTTCATTACAATTCATCATTGTCATCATTAGATCTCTACAAGGATATGTCATCAACAAATGATTACTTAATGATACACTACGTGTAAATACATAGGTATGTATAACGCAAGGGATAAGGTGCGTTGGTGAAGTTGACAAAAATGACATTTAGAAGAAATTACTAATTTGAAAAAAAAAAGAAAAAACAAATCGAATTTAAAGAAAAATTCGAAATCTGAACATCTGTGCTAACAGTCAATAACTTTTAGGAAGACGCTGTCAGCAATATCAACCAAACTTTATATTCCTCCACATGTATGCGTATATATATATATATATATATATATAATGTATATGTGTATGTGTATGTATATATATATATATATATACATGTGTATGTGTATGTATATGTATGTGTGCGCATGTATGTATGCAGGTATTTGATATGAGTGTATATACTCATAATCTATAATTTGTTGAAAATTGTTAAAGGTTTAAAAGAAGAGATAATGATGGTGATGATTTATATTCTTACATTTTTGAGATAGTTATGAAATTTGGATGTACAAACTCAACTAGACAAGTATTATGAGAAGGGAATGAAATTTTGATGTGCATAGTTGATGTGATGTATTAATTTAAGGTTACCAGACCATTTGAAGGTTTTTTCTTTTTTTTTTTTGGCTAGAAGAATAGACTGGAATAGAGTTGTTGTTGCTAAAATGGAATGCAGAAGATATATAAATGGAGAAAAAAAAATGAGAAGAAATAAGGATGTAGGATACAAGAATGTGGAATCGATACGGGTCCTCGTGAAAGTCGTGAACTAATGATGGTATACAGCCATAATAAAGGACATTGACGTGTAATACATTTGTACGTGTATGTGTATATGTATGTGTATGTATATGTGTGTATGTGTGTGTGTATGTGTATGTGCTTGTACGTGTATGTATGCATATATAAAGCCATTTGGGAGAGATTTTAGAGCTTTTGCTTTAGCAGAGAATCTTCAGTGAACATTGATAACCACCAGTTAGATGTAAAGCTACTTGATTTTAGAGTATAACGACACGTGACACATAACTGTTCAAACGTATTGTCTGCTAAGTACGATTCGGAAAGTACAGCTGTGACATGACATAAAAGATAGAGACAATTACAGATATGTCATCACAGTTAAAAGTACATTTATAATTGGTGCAAAAGGGTTTACTATCAGTTAGCTTCTTTTTTTTTTCCATAAAATTGAGCTCGGGCTATTGCTAATATCACTGTCATACAATCTTTACAATCATTTCCATTAATAGTATTGCACAGATTTCAATTACCTATGAGTTCAATAAAAAATTAATTAAAATTATAATTGCATAAATCAATAAAAAGCATTAGTTACATGGCGAATGTTGGAATAAAACGTTCGTTAAGGAAAAAGCATATTAAGCATATTGGGTATGCTAATCGAATCGTATATTTTAAGTAGGAAGTTATGGCCTAATAAAGATAAACAAGGTTCATTGAATAATATTCTTGCGGGGATAGAAAACAAGCTTTAAACTTTTCGGCATTTTATCCACAATAATTCAATGGAAACCTAATTGCATAGCTAACAGTTGGAAAAAAAAAGTAGAAAATTGACAACGATGTAAGAAGATTTAATTAATCACTGAATAAGGGAATGAATAATCGCAAGAATATGCGAGATAGAGGGATATTGCAAATTATTGGACAATTAAAAGATTGTTAACTAACATACTTAAATTTATAGAGTACACTTTCCTATTGGAAAATTTACATCCCAATTGTCTATATTATTCAACAATAATTATGGTAATGTTTCTATGAGATATAGTTGGTGACATAGTAACCAATAAATTTCAAAGTCATTTTGGAATGTTAATTTAAAAGTACAAAATAAGATGTACTGTAATTACTCATCCTTGTTACAATAGTTGGATTAAGTTCCTTTTAGCATATGTATCAAATTATAACTTCTTTTCTAGAGATGAAGTTTAACTTTAAGTAGACAATGACTAATACGTGACAATGTTACATCTACTCCTACTGCTAATAATTGTTTGCTTGTCCATCTCATCGAGATGGCTGTACTTATACTGAACACTTAGTGATGTATTCACCAGTTTTGATGTCCCATCAATTGTGAAACAATATTTATATAGCATATATAGTACCGCACACTCATATGTAATTACACACAAATACACATACACATACACACACACACACACACATTCACATATATTAGCCGCAGTACACACAAATACACGTGCGACATTTGTTGAATCAATCAAATGAAACACATTATGACACGTATTCGACTTCCGGTAACAGCTAACAGATTACATAGTAAAATGGATCCGATGATATACGTCACGTGGAAACACGTTGTGCCCTTACGTACACGAAAACACGAAGAAAGTCGAATTATTAGTGCAATTCCATTTCTAATTTCATTCTATTTTCATGCCAACCCGAAATTCTAATAATTAGAACAGACGCGCAATTATTACTGCGTAGGAGTAGATGAAATACAGAATTTCTGAGTGCATAAATGTCATTCAGTATCTAATAGGATGGAATTAACATAACTGCATCTTGTAGTTATGCAAGAAAGGCAAACAATGCATGCATTTGTATTGCAACACATGTATGAATTAAATCCGAAGATATTACGGAGGATAATGAAGTAGGAAAAGGAGGGAAGAGAGAATGGAAGGAGCAAAGTTGGATTAGAATGAGCTTAACTTAACTTTTAGATATCCTTAAATACTGTCGTATTATCGCCATTTTAATTTCACCAAAGATAAATATATGTAAGATCATAATTTCTCCTTAACTTTTCGTAAAATCGAAATGGTATGGATGTTCGGTCTAATCTGTAATTAATTTATCATTTTTGAATGAGTTTAGTATATTGTAATGGCAACAACTAGGCTGAATATATCAAAAGAGAAACAAGTTTGATATTCAAACAGTAGCTACAACTAGGAAAAGTTCATACATTGACCAATATTACTTGTTTTATAAGAGTTCATCAATTAAGGGACACTGCGGATGACACTGACAAGTTATTGCTTGATTGTGACAATCAATCGTTTTTGATAGCCAACCATTCTCCTTGATGGAAGAGAAAAAAAAATGAAAAATGATTGAAAAAACGGCGAAAAAAACCTTTCGCCTGTTTAATGGAAATTTTGAAATCTGTCAATATTTCTTATGATTAATTCCATTTCTCAAAAAAATCCAAGTTTTACAAATAAATTTTGATTTGTTTGAAATAATTGAATGTATTTCTGGATAGAATTTTGAATATAATAACTTCTGTCAAAAAAACTTTCGGTGAATTTTATTGAAATGCTCACAAAGAGGATACCTGAAATGCTTAGTTCCTCAGCATATCTTAACTAATTAGATAGGTGAAATAAGCAGAATGTGTTGGTATTTCTTAATACGGTAGTGTATATATTTCATACAAATTATGCATTTACCAAACAATTATTCTTTCGATGGATATTTCACAGTGATATTTCACATATTTTCAAAGTGATATTTCACAATTTTAGCAAAATATCCATCAAAAAAAAAAATGATCGCATTAATTTTTACATAAATTTCACTTTGTTTCCAGCCGTATTTCTGTAAGTTGCATTAAAAGATTCCCTGATCCTGAATTCTTTTAGGATCACTTCACCTTTAGATGATATTTTATCAAAGTCTGATTAACAGGTAAAATTTGTGGTACAACTTGGAAAATCACTTGATAGATAGATGTTAGGTTTTATGTAATTTAAAAAACTCAAGTAAAATATCCATAAACTAGGAAAGTCTGTTCAAAAACATAGCTAATTGTAGTTGAGAGGATTTGAGCGTTGATATCCTAGCCAGACTTCTATTCCATCCAGAAAGAGGTCCTTCAAAAAGAAGCTAAAGGAAGGAAGAAGAGAAATCGATGGCAATTGTCCATCGTGATTTTTTCACCAGCTAAAATCTAATTTAAGAGAGAACATGTGCAGAAATTTTTGGATTTGTAGGGAGGGCCATCTCTCGCCGACCCTTTTGGAAATAGTTTCATTGGAACAAAAAACACTGCTTGCTTGAAATTCTTTGCAGAAGATATGAGGACAAGGAAGGAGAAAGAGAGGAAAGAAGATGAAATGGCAAAAATGAAGAAAGCAATAAATTGTCATCGAACATTATAACAGAACTGTATGGAATTTATTTCACAATTGCTTGTCATTCATCAATTAAATGCTAAAATTAAAATTGTTAATTCCATTTACTCGTTGAAGTCAACTGATAATATATGCGAAGGTTGGATTCTTTCTTGAAAATAACTTCATCGCTAACTTTAACTTCATAAACATCTTTTCTAACTTGCTTATCAATATAAATTTAACGAAGAAATAGAACTAATAAATTCAAAATGAAATTGAAATTAAAATTAGAGTAATTAGTAGATAGGAAAAAGGAGAAAATATGTCAGTGGTAAAAAAGGGAAAAAAAGGATGATAATATCAGCGATACTACTGCATGGCATTAATAAACAGATTGCATTGATAAACAACAAATTGGCATTGATAAAGTAATAGCCAATGGGGAAATATTAGTGATTTCAAAGGTAATACTGATAAAAAAGTTCTATAACGCAAGTTACCCATTATGCATACTCAAATTAAATAAAGAATAAAAGTCATCTGAAAGTGATAATCGTATAGATATTGGGAATGATGATATGCTACTGAAAATTGTTAAATTTATGCGATATCAAAATCGATAAAAGTGATGACCAGGTGACTATTAATTTGATAGCACAATGAATTCTGCGAACTATCCCATCTAAATTGCTCAGAACATTATTCCATTCTCCATTCTCACTGTCACTTCTGTAATTGATTAACATTGACAAACTGTCAACGATAATGGAATAATTAATAATTGCATGCCATCATACTCCTCCTCCTCCTTCTACTACTACTACAGCCATACGATAGCTGTCATCTAATCTTCTCTTACATCATTATACAAGGTCATTTTACTATTTTTATGAAAACTTTTCGAGTATAGAATATCGATGCTAAGTAAATTTTATTGAACTTATTTCACTTTAACTTAATTTATTCCGATTTAATTTCCTCTTTTCTCCTCTTCCTTACAAAATTTAAATAATTTTGTACTGACGTGGGAAAAAATTTGAAAATTGATTTATTAAAAGGAAATGATATTGGAATGGCTGAATTAAACTTACATATATGTTAGCAAAACTTTTGGCATGTTCAACAAACATTCGTGAAAAAGTTTGAAGTTTGAGATATCCAGTTGTTCATGAAAAGTGTAAGACGAAAAATGCTAAAGTCTAATTAAGAGAGATATCGAATGTTTAATGATAAAGATAAATGAATGATAAGTTCTCGTACTCGATAGTTAGTTCTCGTTATGGGAACTTAAATTTGTCTACAAAACGTGTATAACTTAAGCATTTTTTATAAGTCACAACAGAGAATATGAAACGATTTTGGGGAATAGTTAATTAAAATTAATAGAATGAAAGCACGAATGGAAAATAGTTTCCATCCTGGCCTATTGTTATTTCAACCCTTGAATGAATGATATTTAGCAGTAGTTGTCGTCCAGCAATGGTCAGCAAAATAAGTAATAATTTTTCAGTTTCATTTTGGATCATAAGTGAGTGATAGATATAATCCAAAATCAGACTGACAAATAAAGCACTATTATCTCAGAATATAATGTATATCCATTTCAGAGCATAGAAGCATTTAATTACAGTATTAAAATAAACAAAAAATATATCTCTATTATCAGTAATCGTTGATAATAATTCGATCTGACTTTCTTCATTCTACAATAACTTTTAGTAGTTTATGTTATTTTTCATTTGTGAAATGTTCTAGAAAAAAAAAGTGTCGTTGTAAGTTTAATCAACTAATCGATTTGAATGGATCATTTTTAACGATTAGCATCACCTTTCATTTCATAATTTTTTGATAATAAATCGCATAAAGAGTGGATATTTTCTTTCCTTTTCTTGATAATATATACTGTTTTATACAATTCTTCCATTTTTAAATTTGAGTTCCTAAAAAACTTGATTACCAATGAAAAATGCTTTTATTGGAAACACAGTGGCACAGTGCTTTACATCATTAAAAACATACTGCGTAATTGATTAATTACTAAACATCTGGCTACTAATTTATTACAAATATAAGCAAAAAAGACGGATATATGCTTGGGTACATGAAGCGATAGCTTCGAAAGGTGTCAGTAATTAATCGATTTCAAACATACAACATGTCTAACTTGCACGAATTCGGAAACAAACCTCATTAAAATTCATTGCCATACAGACTATAAAAGAAAATCACCCTGAAAAATTTCTTAAAAAATTTGTTTTTATAGCTAAAATTATTCGAAAGCAACCTTGAAGAAGAATGCATGATCCATTGCGTGACATTTGACAATTTTTTCATTTTGTGCTCTTTCTGCTTCTAAAATTTGCTGTTATTTAACGCAAACAAAAATATTTTTCAAAATTGAAAATTTTTTTAAACTAAAAACATTCCGATATCTTGTAAACATGATTCGAAATTCGCATTTGTTACTTCGAATATCTTTTTTTTTTCGGTAAGAAGCAATGCTATAGTCGGGAAGCGAATTTATAAGTTACCAATGGTCAAATGTTAACTAGCTGAGGGAAGAAAGTAATCGTAAAATTTGGAACAATTTTATATTGACTTCTTATAAAAGCATTTGCAGCATAAGAATAGTAAAATTATCTTTCAAAAAGAAACAAAACAAAAAAAAACTTGTTTATGAAGCTTAATTCTTTATTCGTTGTTCTTGTTGGTTAAAGGCCAAAAAGATGAGAGATTTTTTGATTCTTAAAGAAGATGCCTGGTTGTAGAATGAATCATTAATCACTGGCTAGGACTGGATCGTCTTTAAAGTATGATTTAAAAGCAGCTATGGTTATCGGTTCTTGAAATATTTGTCTTTTTGCAAAAATAACTATCAGAGCAACAAATTGTTGTAAATTCGTTAACTTTTTTTCTGCTTTTTCGGAAGAAGTGTGGGTGTGTTTAATGCAATAAGCGCCAGACTAAAATATAAATTAGTGCCATAGAAAAGCTTTGTATATCGAAGAAGATACGCCTTGAGAAAAGCTTAATAACTTTCATAGAAAAATAAACATTCTACTATTCTTTTCGTCTCTGTATGTTGTATTCCGGAAACGGAACAAGACACATTGGGTTCACAATCATGAAGAAATCTGTTTCTTTGAATTGGTCTAATGTCTTCTTTTTGGATTTACACTCAGAGGAATTATTTAAAAGTTTTCTTTGAGAAGAAATTATTTGCTTTTAAACAAATTTTGTGATCAAATCAGAGGGCTGAAACAAACTTTTTGAATGAAATCTTCAAACAGCACTTAAATAAACAATCAATAAAGTACAATTAAGCAAGTTGTGTTAATTTTACCCTGAAAGCTTTTGGTATTGGCTATAGATTAAATTCGGATCGTTAAGTCATTAATCATTAAGATTGTTTTCCAGTTTACCAGATGATTCGATTGCTTGGGAATTCCGTCTTTCAAATGGAACACAAGATGGATTTCATGAAAAATGGATCCTGTTGCATATTTCAATCCCGAAAATATTTTAACGCAATAGGAATAATTTTTATACGAATTTGCTTAACATTTCCGCAATTTGATATACAAAAAGGAAAAATTTCCCTTGGGAAAGGAAATATTTTGCTTACCCGCTAAAACTGCATATGATACTCGATTCTTTTCCCGAATTTTCTTCTTGATTTGCATCACAATATCTTCATTGAATTCTCCCCTAAAATAACCATTCCTTAAAGTAATATTTACAGATATCTTTTGTTTTTCTTATAAAATAATGAAAAAGGAATAAGAGGGTTTTTCATCTATGATCTTAAGAATTCAGGAATAAGATAACTTACTGGATTAATTGCCGGATAGGAATCAAAGCCTTAGTTCTAACCTGTTTACTTTAACTTACTTCCTGCACCTTTATTACATCCTTCTTCCACTGTATTTTCTTTTCTTGGGATGAAGTGAAGAAGGAAATGGCAATTTTCCTGAGCTATTTAAGAATTGAATTATTATTGAACTAGTCTTACGATGAAATTTACAACTCAATTTTCCATTTTACTTCTTCAAAATCCGCTTATTATTAGTTAACGTAACAACTCCTTAATAAGCATCCTTTTGCACTTGTCGGAAAAATGTCCGAAGACTATTGACAACACTAGGAACCAATTTCCTTTTCTTAAAGCTGGCTGTTTTCAAAATTTGTCTCACTGAGTCACCATTTTCATCCATTTCATTTGTCAAAATATTTATAGCAACTGTTTGAGTCAGGTCAAATTTAAACGCTCACTGTTATCAACCGATAAAATGTCTCGTACTATCATTTTAAGCATCCAAAGTTTATTTTTTATTTATTTAATTACTTGCTGTCATTATCATGCTATCGAGATTTAATGGTCTGTTGTTAACACTTCGATCTTTTGTGATGTATTTGAAATTTATCGTTAAATTTTACTGTTCCATAATTCTGAATAATAGAAGAGACATGAAACTAATATTTCGAAAAAACTGTTTCGAAATAAATGAGAAAGACTTGTAACCAATTTAGAATCGCAATAGATCGCTTGATTAAAATTAAAATTATTTCGAAAAAGAAAAACTTATCATCACTTATCTTTACTTGAGTCCGTGTTATCATGTGACATTGGCATGGGTTTAAAATTTACAATTAAATCCTAGCACGTTCAAGACCGAAATTTAAATCCCAAGATTAGAAGTCTAATTCGAATGTCTCATCTAGACTGACGTTCAAAAACACTCAGGATAGGCGCTGGTTTACCGCGAAATACCGGTCGGCCCTTCCCGGGGGATAAGGGAAGGGTTTTGAGCAGGGCTTCTATTCATTTCGAAGTTTTCTTGTAATTTTGGAAGTTCGTTGGCATTTATTGAGTTCAGACTCTCTCATATTCTTTTGTAATCCCCGCCTCTTCAGGTACTCTCTCCCAGTTCCAGCCAGGTAACCCTCAACACCAAAATATATTTTTTCTTTCTCTTTCTATAAAATATCAAGGAAACGAAGATTAATGAACTAGGAATACCGTTCGATTTATATCTGCAAGATCCAGAAGATCATCTCTTCATCGACGAACGAAATTTTTGCATTAAAATTATAACACTTCTATTAATAATTAAAACATCTTTGTTTTTGTCAGTCACCTCTTTTTTGTCACTTTTATTAACTTCTGTTAAAGTCGATTTTTGCCATTCCTTGTAGATCCAATCAGTTCAGTTTTCATTGAACTATCAAGATGATTAATCGCCAACACCACCGTGATGTTAGAATATTGCATACATATGTTGTTTCTTCATAATATGAATTTATTTTAGCGCTAGTACTAGCGTTATTCATATGAACTTCGTTATATTATTACCACCAGGCAGAAGATATTAAGACGATTATGGAGGATACGCAGCGGTATATCTGTAAGTTGTATATATTTTCACGCCCTATTAGACGTATGTATTTGGGATTATCCGCACCAGAAGCGAACAAAAATTTTGGGATGTATAAATATAGTTCATAAAAAAGACCTATTTTGCTTCCAATGTTTGATCAGTCATTCTCATTTTAAAAAAATTTCTTTAACATTTATGCCATTTATATGGCAGTTAAAAGTTTCTTTATATCCACTTTCTTCTGCATCTTTAAATGCTTATTTTTAGTAAGTCAAATTTTTCAATAAAGAACAAGTCAGAAGTCGTCAATTACAGCACTGCTGACGATGTGTGATGAAGATGACGATGAAGTAATGGTGTTTGAATGCAGCGCTTCACTGGCCGCTAATGCATTCCCCAACTTTGAAGAAATCCGTCGTGCAGGAAAACTTTGTGATGTGGTGCTTGTTGTTGGTAATGTCAGGTTTGTTGGAAAAATCCATTTGCTCATCACATTATGTATTTTCCTACTGTTGTAGAATTTTTTTATGTAAAAATTTAATGGTTTCAGGTTTAGTGCTCATCGTATTGTTCTAGCTGCGACAATTCCCTATTTCCGAGCGATGTTTACAGCTGATATGGCTGAAAGTCAGCAAGAAGAAATTTATTTGAAAGGTTGGTTTTTGTTATATGGAAGTAATTGTTGCATTCATCATATTCAAGCATCCAGAATAATCTCGGCCGCAGGGTCAAACAGAAAGCCATTCCATCTAGTCCATCCAATCTCGAAAAACGCGGATTTTACATAGAGATGGAGGTTCTATGGTCGCTAAGTGTTCCGGAACAAGATTTTAGAATGTCAGTGTTCGGGTCCTGGTTCAGAACCTTGGTGTGAAGAGGGACGTTGTCATAACTACATGTAGAGGGAAATTATTAAGTACACGATACAAAAACTGGTATTGCTTGTTACTTCTTGTCTACAGATGGTCTAGTCTGGATTCTTTTTACTATTTGTTTTACTATTTGAATTGTGCACAAATCAAAACCTTATGAGGATGTATTTCTTACCTGCCTTTTGGTGTCTAATTAAAATTATTTGCTTACAATGTAATTCAGATTTACACTCTGCATACTGGACTTCATTTTTCTTTTGTTTATTTCATGAAGATTTTGAACCGGACACATTGGAACAATTAATTGCTTTCTCATACACGGGAAGCATAAGGATAACCGCAGCAAATGTGCAAAGCATGATGCATGCAGCGAATTTCTTGCAACTGAATGGAATCGTGGATGAATGCTCGAAGTTTCTGAAGTGTAGGTTGCATGCACAGAACGTCCTTGGTATACGATCCTTTGCAATGGCTCTTGGCTGTGTATCACTCGTTCTTTCGGCAGGTACCTGACTGTATGTCGTATTTTCTCTTTATTTCGCTTCATTTCGAAATTGCTAAAATATTCCACTCACAATCTTCCCTAGGAACCATATTGTTAGTTATGATTCAGAATGTTATGTTAGGTATATATTACTAATGAGTATGTATTGGTCTTTTAAAATAATCATGTGAAAAAGGAATAAGAGTTGAGATTATTTCGAAATAGAGGAAGAGGACGTAAATTGCTGCATGTGAAAACTGTTATGTTATAAGATGACGAATGAAAGATGAAGCAAAAAAAATGGAAGAGTGAATGTATTCATCACTTCAGAATTATTTTGTAGTGTATTTTTTTTATTCATTTCAAAGCATGTGACGGTTGTATTTTAATTGTTTCCTTTTTTTCTGAATAATATTCATTTAGATTGTTTTCTGCACAAACATTTTCTGTCAGTATCGCAAGGTGAAGAATACTTGGCTTTATCAGTGGATGATTTGATAACAATATTGAACAGAGATGAATTGTTTGTTGAAAGCGAGGAGCAAATGTTTGATGCATGTATGCGATGGGTCCAGCATAATCCTGAAAGGAAGCAGTACTTACCGAGGTAATAGTCTCTAACTAAAATTGGATATTGTTGTAATAGATGGATGCGAACTGTAATGTTTCTCATTTTAACTAATCATATTTCAGGGTACTTACATGCGTCAGGATGCCATTACTGAAGCCTCATTTCATTACCGATCACGTAGCCTCCCATCCATTCATTCGTGAATGCCTTGATTGTCGTGATCTAATTGACGAGGCAAAAGATTACCATCTTATGCCAGAACGAAGAAAATTTTTCAGAAAATTTAGGTACAATTGCGTTTTCTGTTTTAGAATTATTAGTAAAAGATTGATCTAAAATATGGTCAGAAAGATTAAAAGGAACAGCTGTATCACTTTTTTTTTGAGCTTTTCGCTTTGGTAAATTTTCCTATTCAGTTTATTTAATTCAGCTAAGGTTTCCTTTTTTTTTCAAATTTTAACAAGCAGAATTATTAGAACGAAGCAGAGATGTTGCTTTGATGTTCCCGGTTTGATCTTCGCCGTTGGTGGTTTAACGAATGCCGGTGATTCCTTGTCAACTGTTGAGATGTATGATCCAATGACTGGTAAGTGTTTTTTATTACCATCATTTACCGAACTTTCCAATCTTGGGTGAATTGTTAACACGAAGCGCGTATTTGATTGCAGGTAAGTGGACATCAGCACAACCGATGAATTCAATTCGATCACGAGTAGGTGTTGCTGTAATGAATCGTATGCTGTACGCCATTGGCGGTTTTAATGGGCATGATCGACTACGCACCGTTGAAGTCTTCGATCCAGATCAAAATAAATGGACCGAGGTTGGATATGAGAAATTGAATAAGGGCATTCAGCACTTCATTTCATCTCTCAGAAAAGATATGGGATTGCAGGGGTGCTCTCAGGTGGTAAAAAACGACCCAGATCAGGAGCCAGATCATATAATTTGCGCTTATTTGCAAGGCATTATATGGGATTGACAGCCTTGTCAGCACTTTTTAAAGCCTTAATAAACTTATGCTCTGCAGGTCCTCTTTGTGAAAACTGATGCCTAACATATAGTCGTTGCCTTTCGAGATTATACTGCACTAAATGTCAGAGTATTGTTGCTGTCCGTAATATGTAATACTCTATTTTTTCTTTTGTAGGTAAGTCCGTTGATTAATAAACGTTCCGCGCTTGGAGCAGCTGTGGTCAATGATCGCCTTTATGTATGCGGTGGCTATGATGGGATTAGTTCACTTGCATCTGTAGAAGTTTACAATCCTTGTGCAAATCGATGGACTCTTACTGTTGCGATGAACAAGCAGAGATCTGCTGCTGGTATAGCTGTTATTGATAATTACATTTATGGTAAGAATTTGCTGATATTTTAATCCTAGTCTCCTCAGGATTTTTCCACATTTGTGCGTTTAAAAGTATCATTGGGAAGCTAAAAATAACTTGTGAAGGTGTGAAAAAAGTGCGTTGCAGTTATAGGCGTGAAAAAAGTATGTTGCAGTAATAGGCGGACACGATGGAATGTCGATATTCAACTCTGTTGAACGTTTTAATGTCGATAGTGGTGAATGGCAAGTGGTAAAATCAATGAACACAAAACGATGTCGTTTAGGAGCTGCAGCTGTTCGAGGAAAAATTTACGTTTGCGGCGGGTAAACATTTCATTTTATATCTTGTGCATACTTTTCATATGGCAGTGCAACTAATCTACTTTCAGGTATGATAAGTTTTTTAATTCTGTATGCCTCATTCAATGCCAAATTTGGCTTACTCCTAACAACTCCAAGTGTTATTATAAGGTAGCAGCAAAAATTGGCTTTTTTGCAGCTATGATGGATGTCAATTTCTGAAAAGCGTTGAAGTGTATGAACCAGAGAAGGACGAGTGGAGCCCGCTATCACCGATGCATTTAAAAAGAAGTCGAGTATCACTGATTTCCAATGCTGGTGTTCTTTATGCTATTGCTGGGTTTGTCATTACATTCATTCACTTTGAGAGACGGCATGAACGGTGAGATGGATTAAATGCATTGCTTGATGTCTGGTTTTCCAACCTTTTCTGTATGGATTATCTACTTGCCCACTCTCAGAATGATTGCAGCATTAAACAGTATGATCATCTTAAATACTTCGAATAAATGTCTAGGAAAGCGAGGTTTTGTACTAGAAAAGTGTCCAGTTATGCTTGATCAAAAGCGTCCTAGTTCGAGATTTTGCCATTCTCTAGTATATTTTCTCAGATACCGAAATAGTTTTTCGGATACGAAAAGCTTCTTTTATCTTTAGGTGATATGGAAAATTTCTTGTGAGTTTCATTTCCATTAAGAAGAATTTTGTATGCAAGTTATTTCAGTTATGATGGCATTTCGAATTTGAGTTCCATGGAGACATATAACATTGAAGAGGACAAATGGACATTGGCAACAAGTATGGTAGCGCATGAAGGTGGCGTTGGTATTGGCGTGATACCGTTTCAGCCAAGTAAAATATAACCTGTGATTTATTTCTTTCGTTCCTTACTAGCAGCTTTGAATTACGAATGGTTTTCCTTGTTTTCCTTTTTCACAAGATAACACAAGGCCTATTATACTGTTTTCATTGTTTTCTATCTTCCATTTCATTGCCATTTTTTTCGTTTTTCCATGTTTTATGAATAAATAATTAGACTATGCAATAATAGACCATTTTTCGGTGCTACATTCCTCGATTTTGCTTTCATATATTATATGTTCATTAGTTATCAACATTGATTAATGAAGGATAAGGCAAGGTTGAAGGTTGGAAGTGGTTGCTGATTTGAATATGTGCCATGAGAGAAAGAAATGGTTAATTTATTTTTGTATAGTATTTCTTTGTGGTGATAAGTGGTCTCTAAAATTCTGTGTTCATCCCATATGTTTCTGAACGGAATATAAAAAAACTATTTACAAGAAATACCGTGGTGACAGTCGGTAAGCTGTTCCTTTCAGTTTCTTTATTGATTTATTTATTGGATATTCTGTTCGTTTTTTTTTTTTTTTTCTACAACTTCAACATAACAAAATTGGCTGAATTAATGTAATAACTGAATTTCTGGATAGAGATGAAATAAGAAAAATAATGGGAGAGAGAGGGAGAGAAAGCGAGAGTGCTTTGGTGAAAGGAAATATGAATACCGGGGGAAGAGATCACGTTAGTCGTAAAAGTTTTTGCTCAGAGTTCGTCCTTACTCTTAGATTGTTCCTTATTTTTTGGCTTCTTTTTTCCATCATCATTTCTTTCCTTCTTTCCATCTTTCTTGTATTTTTCCACATTATCTTCTTCATCTTTTTTCAAATTTGTTGTAATGAATTCGGAAAAATTACTCGTTGTACGTTCATCATCCGTATGATAAATAGGCTAAAAGAAGAAAAAAATAAAAAGCTGACAAGGTTATTGAACGCTCTATTCATGAATCATTTCTCGGAAAAATTTTTTAGGCATTTCAATGATTGAATTTTTTTTTCCTACAACTCCCTATTACTACTGCTACTTTCAAACTATATTTAGATTTCATTATACCGTAGTTATGCAAGTTTTCGAAGAATAAAAAAGAAAGTATTAGTTAGGAGGACAAACTTTCTTCGATCCTTTGATAAATAGCGCTATTGTAGGTACATCAAGTACTGGTAGTCCGAATACTTCATTATTCATTGAGTTCATTTTGGCGATTACTATATTTGTCTTATTTTTATAAAGTTCGCCAAGTTTCTCCAATTCTGGCATCGTTCTCTGGCATGCTTCACACCATGGTGCATCTATAAAAGTCATAGTAGTTGAATTTTTCGAAAATCCTAATATTCACTTTTGAAATTGAATTTTTTTTTCCTTGATATAAGTCAAATATCAGATATTGTTGCTGTCTACAAAGAATGAATAATCTAATGCAGCATATTGGCTGGTAACAGTCGTTTATCATTGAGTAGTAGGAATGGAAATGGAAATAATCTTCAGATGATTTTTGAAATGATCATTGCACTATGGGTGGTTGAAAATTGGGTGCAATGATTGTAGGATGGAAACAGTCCTTGTAGGATAGTATTTGATATACTTATGCTAGTTTATGTTTTAAATTATTTCTTATCATCATATTTTGAAAGCAAATGAGTTTATACGAGGAATATGAAATATTTCAGCAATTTTAAGCAAAGCTTTTTTTTTTTTGCAGCTAAAAAGTGTTAAATGTTTTCGCAAGGAATTTATGGTAATCCATTTATCATCTGTTGGTGGATATGCTTCCGGTTGATTTGTAAATCTATTTTAGTCCTTGGGATATATACCGCATGTAAGTAGACCCAGCATTTCTAGAATTTCTCCTGCTTTTCAATAAGCAATGTTGAACATTCCAATGAATTTCTTTTGACAAAACAAGTTTTTATTTAGTTTTTTTTTTTTTTTCAATATTCTACCTCGTTTTCTTTTCTTGTAATATTTTCTTACGTACTCTTCACAAACCATTTCTTTTTTTCTTTGTTAATGATGCTTTATTAATTCAGAAATATCAAGGTAAGGAATGAAGAAAACTTACAGAAGAATACGAAGGTTGTTTTTTTCGAGTCGAATACTTGCTCTTCGAAGTTTTTCCCTACTAATTCAACCACAGGTTTCTTATTCCAGTCGTCAGGAATTTCGTCACTTTTCAAAAATGGTATTGCTTTACCGTCCAAACATGATTGTACGAATGAGATTATTTCTGCCTTTGTTATCTGGAAATTCACTTATGTTAATGAAAGCGGTACTTTTTTTTAATGGAATTGCTATATTTTCTGGATCCATAGGATGTATGGAATACTTCAGGATAAGATATCGGCTAACTTTATGTAGTATTAGTATTACTTTCCGTCTTCATTTTGCTAATCTGTTATTCCTTCACGGGAAAAAGAGTAACAGGGATAAAACTGTTGGAAATTATCCATCTCTGTAAAATGATAAATTTTCGGAAATTACTTAGAAATGTTCAAAAACTTGTAATTTAGAGGATAAATACTAGATTCTGAAGAAATGCTTACTTCTTTCACTTCTGCTTTGTATTTTTTGAAGTGTTTTTCAAGACTAACAAACAACACACCGGGCACATCTTCCGCTATTAAACCGAGAAATTCGATTATTTGCCAATTTTCTTCTATATCTGAGTTGATGTATACAAATCGCACCTAAATAGCTGAGCAATTCGTTGCTAAATAAGTTATCCAAATTTAGACTTCTTGATTGTATTCATAGCATTTCTCATTTTCTGAATTAGGAATGAATCGGAATTCAAATATTCATTCTCAGTTATTTTTATAAGAATTATGAAACCAAACATTTCTGAAACCACAAGAAATCTAAATTTAAGCTGAAGAAGTGGAGATCTACCTTCTAGCACTGTAGATGGAAGCATTATGGATGGTTTGAGAAATTGGTTGTAGTTTGCCGAGGATAGTTAAACTTAAAGATATGCTTTTTTAATACTTATTATTCTGGAAGTCTCTGTATAGGATTGCTATTGCTTCTACAATGTTTAATGCAAAAAATAGTTAAACCTTGTCTTCGAATTTCTCTGCAGCTTTCTTGAATTCATCCAGATAATCTTCATAATCCTCGGATTCTTTTGATTCAATCAATATTGCGAATTCCGTATTCTCTTTACCATCAAAAATGGATGGTCCCGATTCTTTCACAAATTCGGTTATCAGATTTTTCTTCTGCAGTGAATCGATGTTGATAAAATGTGACTATGCATTATATCAGTAAAAATATCAATGGTATGTGAAAATTCAGTCAATTCATGACCTAGTAATGATGTAATTGATTACACGCAGAATACAACGGACTATTTAACCCACTACCTTCTTTCCCTTTCTTCCTCCGATTTTTTCTCCCTTCAGTTGATAAAAAAATTGACTCTATTCCTTAAATTATTTTGTTTGTTGAACTATTTACCCTAATTTGTCACCTCTCCTCCCGTATTTCCCCGTATATGCTATCGATCAATTATTCGTAGTAAATAAAATACTTTAATATATACCGTTGCTATATCTAACCTTCATTTCAGCTATTGTTGCAAGCAAAGAAAGAAGTAGAATTGGACAAATATGAATTTCTCGCCACATTTCGTTTTTGTCTTATGAGCCGATAATGGCTGATATGTGGTAATGCAATTGGTGATGATGATTGCAATAGGTGATGATGCTGATGAAACCTTTGACGACACTTTTGGATCCGAGCAATCGAAAGATGTAATATGCGTTTCTTACCATTTCTCATCCCCGTTTTACAACTCCGTCATTTTCCCTACTTCTTCATCTTCCATAACTTGTTTTAAAAGGAACTAGTGAGCGTTGTTTTTTGCATGCAAACAAAATTGATGATCATTAGAATTTCATTAAATAATTATATATGAAGATAAATGGGTGCTATCGTGAATTTATTCACAAATTATGCATAATAGGAAATATATTGATATAATAATATTTATTTGTATTCAATGTTTCGGATCATTTAATGTTCTAAGAGAAATGGTCGAATGCAATGAATTTGTTAAAAAAAAATAAGCATGATTTAACCCATTCTAATCTTAACATTATTGGATTTTTATTTAAAATTCGAACAATTGGTAATTCTTTTATTCGAAAATATAAATGATAAAGCTTATAACAATATATGTTACATTAATGATCGTTATCAGTTTTTTTTTTTTCGTTTCTCGTCCTGAATGACGAACATCATCGCATATATATATATATATATATATATGTATATATATATACTTTATATTTAAATTTTTTGTTGTTATTTCAAGTGTAAGATAGAATAGGTTTGTCGAATCAGACAGTTATGGAGCAAACACAACGTTGTTGTATTTGTGGTACAATGGGAAGAACATTGCTTCCAATGAACAACCGATCGAAAGCGTTCAATTCATTGCGACAACGATACACCTTTTTCCTTCACCGTCCAGTGCTTCATGAAAGAGTGAAAATATTTCACCCTTTCCTTTTACCCCAAAAACAATTAAGCCCTTTTGACATCGATTCTCATGAAAACATTTCACATCATAAAACGAGAACCTTCGGAACACCAGTTAGAAATCGAAAATTAACTTAATAAGTTTTTTTTTTCCCCTTCTTGTTTGTTGTGAGGAAAACTAAAACGAATATCTCTTTCAATTTGGCATATTCATAGCATTATTTCATTATAGATTAGAGCTTGATATTTCTTTTGAAAGCGAGTAACTCTAGGGATTTTTTCTTTTTTCTGGAAACAAAAGCATAAATATCTTTGTATTTTGACTTTTGCTTTTTATCATCTTCCGGCAGTCCCATAAAGTTTTTCTTTTCTTTTTTGTTCTAAAAACGTCCTTCCACATGACTCCAAAATATTTGTTTGCTTGTGATATATATTTATTGTTTTTAAAGTCGTTTGCTGTCATTGACTATGAAAGTTTAATGATGTAATATCCATTTTGCGCAACAGTATCTAGAAACGTATATTTGCTGATTTCGTTTATTTCAGGTGTTTGATTATTAAAGTACCAAGAAACGGTTATCTCAATGAGCGACCCCGAAAGTAAGTGTTGTATTCTATTTGTTTAATTCATACAAGAAGGAGATTCACTGCATGCGTATTTCGTTTCTTGGTTCTCAAATACTTCGAAAAACTTTCTGTCTTTTGTTCTCTCAATTTCTTTATTTTGTACAACGGGACATATAGCCTGTCCAATTTGGTTCGGTTTCCGGATCAAGATTGTTTGGTCATTCAATCTGATTTTTTTTTATGGCTTCATACGATTTGTGAATGTTTATTACTCTTTATTTTTTTTCAGAAAATCGGAAATTAGGTGAAAGTGTGCGTTGTTTACGTGAACAAGGACTAACATTTTCTCAAATTTCTCAAGAACTAAAGGTGTTTTTTATTTATGTATTAATTCGATATAGCTATTCGATGTGAAAAACGGGAGGTAATAAGGACATTTAGATGATCCTTTGTTATAGTGAGGTCGAATTTAAAACGATAAATTGGAACCGTTTCTGTTTTACAAAACAGGAAGTAAAAAGATGCCAAAAGAATAAGTGATGGAAGAGTACCTGTCCTTCTCTTTTTTATTTTGATTTTATTTAGTGAAATGTATACAATTCTTCGATATCAATTTAAACCAAAGTTAAATTTGGTTTGTATTTTATATTTTCTTTATTTTATTTGATCTTCATTAATTCCAATATGAAGACCTTATCTTAATCATGCTAATATTCACGCTTAGGTGTCAAAGTACTACAGAGAATATTTCCAGAAACTTTAGGATGAAACGTTGGATAGTTATAACCACTCGATTCGAATAACTGTATAGTAAACTTTGTCGGAGGGCTTTATTGCTAGGACTCTGTTGTTACATCACTGAATAGTATTTGTATGCTTCAGCAACCGCTATCGACGTGTTATTCAGCCATGAGATCACTCAAATTATCGAAGGACTATACAGAAACTCTGAAGATGGTTGTGAAGAAAAGAAAACGTGATTATGCTGGATCCTTACAGTCTGTAAGTATTCATAGTTTCCCGTTATTGATCACTTTTCAAAGCTTCTACTCAAATACAGTTAAAGTTTGACATGTAGAAAGGTTGAAAATCCTTATTTTAGAAGCTTTTGTGAACTACAGAAAGTACTACGGTATCATCGTTTGATGAACTAATTAGAAAAATGAGCTAAATATTTGCACTGATAAACAAATGCACAGTGCTGAGCAAGGTTTTAAGAATACATTGTAGAGTGGCAGTTGCTGTTCAAGTTCGGAATCAGATCAGTTGGTTGATGAATCTCCTTCCCTTCAAACTTCATCATCCTTCACTCTTCCATCACCTACCTATGCATCCTACAGTTTGACATCGACTACAAACCAGCTTTTGCATGCGGTGAACAAATCAATCGAAGCGGCTCCATGGCATCAACAGCTTAGTTCCAATATGGTATCGGAAAATTGTGTTGGTTCATTATTTTAATCAATTTTCTCCATGTTACTGTAGGACTATAGAGCCAGGGAAACTTGAAAACTTAAATGTCATCAATTTCAGAAAAATGAAGGGGAGGGCGAAGGACGTTGTGTGACTACTGATACACCGACGACATTTCCAATTGCTGTTACCTCTTTTACCGATACGGAAACCGTTTCATCCTTCGTGCCATATCGAGAAATAAATCAGGAAACCGCTTGTTTTCTGGAAGAGACTAAACGTATTGCTTCACCAGTACCACTTAAGGTAAATTATCGCGGAATCAGATCAATATATAATATAAATTAAGAAGCGATAAATGACCTTTTAATAGTTTTTGTAGTGTGAGCCTAATTTGTTTTAATGTTAAACACTTCGTTTTCTTAGCTGATCATGGGAGGTGGTATTCCGCCTAAATTACAGTATGTATTACCGAACTTCACACATTAGGCTGAATAGCTGGTTATTACCTAACAATCCTTCCATTGAAGTTCTTTTAGTTCATATCTCTGCTACTTGTTTTCTTTTCCTCTTGAACTGCATACGTACTTCAGGGTAACGATGGCACGAAAGTAACGGTTTTAGAGGGGAATGCTGAGAATGCCATAAGTCAAAAGCTAACATGGGCTTTGGAACAATTGGAAAACTCGAAGAAACCTGATGAAATTGTACAGCTGATGAATGTGATCGCCAGTGCTTTGAACATATTGAATAGTTTGAGAGTCAAAGATAATTCTACGCCATAAATTTAATGACATTTTTTGATGTCTTCTGCTCATTATGTCTACTGTGTTAAAAACAACGAACTGATTATGTTTAATAAATTGTATTATTCTCTTTTCATTATTTAGCTTGAAAATCTATGATTGAAACAAATTATTGCAGGACCAGGATGGTAATACGTGTAGAAGTGGGTAATTGTTATTGAATATCTAATATCATCGTAAAAAAAAGCTAAACGTAAAATCTTGCTGGGCTTTAAAATAGCTTTTTGTGAAAATTTAGAATTCGTAAATTTCAATGTGGTCTGGAAAAAATTTCATTATTTCGCCAGTTGTTCATCAGGAAAACCAAAAAATGAGACGTCAGATAATGTATTCCGAATTTTGACAGAGAAATGATGAACAATAAATAATGGTAACAAAAGAGAACACTCATACTGAATTGGTACTTCAACCTTTTCATCACGAAAACTTATTGGGGGGGATATATCGGGACGGTCTCTCGTTGTCACAGATGTTCGCTATACTTGGAAATTGTTTCCAAAAAACTTAGTCGGGAAAAGGAGCAGATATTGACATTAGGCGATTAAATCATTAACAGTTCGTGAATCCATAACTTGCTCACATTCAGGATGGAGTCAGAACTACCCCCAAAGTAGAATTCTACTTTATTGAGACATGCTTCCACATATGGTAGCATATATCATAAAATGGAAATCTATTTTTGTGGTATGGAGCTGAACTTCATAATAGATTTTTTAGATTGCAACTCATCACTGGAATTATACAGTCTCTCCGGATGATGTCTTGCGTAAGTGGTGTCTTCTCGTAGATATCATTTAACACTTGCGACTCTGTCCTAAATATTAGCAGGTGACGGAACCGCGTATTGTTCCTGATTTAATTGGCCAATGTCAGTATCTATTCCTCTTCCCGATCTAGTCCCTCGGAAGTCAATTCTGAGTATGTGAATATCTGACGACGAAAGATCGTTCTAATCTCTCCAATAAATTATGATGAAAAAGTTGAAAAAGAAGTTTCAATTCAGCAGGAGTGTTCTTTTTTGTCACCATTATTTATTATTGGTCATTTCTCTGTCAGCTTCGGAATACATTAGTTACTTCGGGGCAATTGAAAGCTCAAGCAAGGCGATACCCGCCCCATCAGATGATTAAATGAAAACTAGATTCATCGCACAGTTGCTTCAATATTTCCCCTTGTTTACATTATTTCTCTTTATTCTTATTTTTTATTTATGTAAAATTTATGCTTGCGATTTCATGTAAAAGAAGAATTTCCAACTTTTCCCTTACCATATTCTATTACAATCTTCATCAGGTCAAATCTCGAGATTTAGCATCTCCATGGAAAATTTTGGTTCCTTTAATGACTTTCCTCTATTCTTCCGACGAAGTTGAAGTAATGATTTCACTTCTTAAAACTAACAAGAACTTCAGCTTAGTTTTTTAAATTAAACTCAAACTCGAGCGAGCATGCTATGCATAGAGATTTTGCATAAAGTTTTGACATATTGTCGTGATGATTGTTCGTCGTATACATAACGTCCCACTTAATTTCCTAGTGAAACAATTCATCTCATAGACACTCACTAATCAGACTAACAGTATATATACCACTGGTTTAGCAGACTGTATTCCGTTTTACCTCTCAATCATCAGTTTTGAAACATGCTAACAGTGTTTCTGATTCACGGAATATCGTATTGAATAGACGAATGTTTCTTTTGGTTCTTCCACATTTGAATATTGCATCAATCTAAATCTGACATCGATTTGTAGATAATAAATGTTGTTCAATGATCTGACCTTCATTAATAATGACAGACCTGTTAAAACGATAGTTATCTATACATATAATCGAGATTAGATCAATTCTCAATTCTCAACTTAACGATATGTTAATGCAAGCCGAGCAAAAAACCTCTCATCTAAGTTGATCTTTTTCTGATCGATATACTGCACCTGTATCTGAAACTGAATTGAATGAAACGCAAAAATGTTCCTATCTAGTGTTGCCCGTGTTTATCAACATAGTGATATCATTTATCAGTATCGCTATTATTGATCAATATCTGAGGTATTGGAAGATCTCAAGTATGCATTCATGATCTCTGAGAGAGTGGAAGAGAGCTACGAGGGATATAGATCAAAGGAACCAGAAAATATCCAGCAAACGAATAATAACATACAGAAATTGTCTTCTACAATGCGGTTTACTGATATCCATAGACCGCGCAATTGCGCAATACGCTACACTGACATTCGTTTTCGACCATGCACTGTGTCATGTTGATAGAAGTTTGAACCGTGAAACTTATAAGTGTGAAAGGGACATGTTAGGGAGGGAGGCTTTAGAAGATGATGGTAATGTTTCTGAGGACATATTTGTTTATTGATTGGAATCTTTATTCTTGCTTGTTTGAAAATGTTAATTTAAAAAAAAGAATGAATGGATTGGAATTCATGTTTTTATAGCATTTAATTCAGTTTACTGCAGTTGCACGACGTGCTTACTTTTAAAGTTCTGAGATTGAAAGTGGTCGTTTAACTGTGAATTCTGTTTCTTTTTAATCTATTCTATTTTTACCAAAGGAATGCTAATCAAGAAAGGAAAAAGTAAAAATAATAGAATAGGGAAGTGTTTCATTGCTGGTCTAGGACTTGTCATAGAAATTTCTGATCCAAATAATATGTACCATAAGTTCTGCTTGAAACATCAATACCAGTGTTAAGTTTTACAAGTGACTAATTATTAACTGGTCATCCATTTTGGTAATAAGCAGAACGTTTGTGCAAAAATACGGCCATGCTTTAAAAGGAGAACGAATAAGTTGTAAAGAGGTGTCATTCGATTCCCAGGATTATTTAATTATTAATTACTCACTTGTTAGTGTCTGCGGTAGCAATCTCGACATTGTACCATCTTCCACGTATGACACTTTGTTTTTATTCAGTGTATTCATCAATTTTTTGTTAACTGTGACATGTCAGAATTAGTATTTGTATTTTCGGTAACCGAGGAAAGGGTTGGTTATTGTCTGTTTTGGCGGTGTAGTGGGTTTATTTCCGGAGGAGCATGGGTGAATTACAGTCGGCACTTCTTCTCAGAAAACAACTTGCAGGTAAAAATCCTCTTGAACATTCAATTATTTTCATTTGCTACTTATTTGTTATGGTTCAAATTCACCTAAGCGTTTATTTCTGATATCCACTACGGATTGTTAGCCTTCGTGTTGGTAGTTGCACATACGTAATCTTCACTATAGGAAAGTCACAACGATTGACTGGGAGTAGGATTAGGTACCACAGATCGTCGTCTGAGTCACTTTTAGAATGAATATTTCGACAAGATATCTAATGTTATTTTCTGTTCAATTAGGCAGTAGGTAGAGGTGCTTGTGGAAGAAAGGAGAAGTGATAGGGAGAATGGAATATTAACGAAAATTAATTTTAGTGTCATATCCTTTGAAAAATAAATGTGCACAGCGTCTCCGGAAGAGCTCCGAATGATACAGGAACACATATTAGGGCTTTCTAGAGCTTACAAAATACGTAATTATGTGAAAATGTAATTAATCTTATTGCAGAACTGAAACGAGTTCCTGTTGATGGATTTTCAGCAGGTCTTCAAGGTGATGACATTTACAAATGGGAAGTACTTGTTATTGGGCCGCCTGATACTCTTTAGTTAGTTTGCTTAGTTTGTTCAGTTTTTTATGTTAGCATGTTAGCTATACCAAAGCTTCACCTTCAAGTTACTGAATTGTGAATGTAGGATAGTGAATGTGCAGTCAAATTGTTAGACAAGTTCATCGGAAACTTTTCGTAGTTGATGTCTTTCATCCATTATGAAATGTGGTCACATCATGAAATTCATGCAACGGTTTGATATATATTATAAAGCAAAGTTCTTTTTGGTGAAAACAAAAACACAGGTTGGAAATACTGATTGTTTCAGCGAAGGAGGATTTTTCAAGGCGCTTCTGGAATTTCCCAAAGAATACCCGCTGTTGCCGCCAAAGATGAAGTTCATTTCGGAAATCTGGCATCCGAACAGTATGTGTATTTTTTCACCAAAAATAAATTATATTCAAGTAAGAGAAGGATAGTTAAGTTGTGCTAAAAGCAAATCATTATCAGAAATTCCCTCCCTCTATTAGATTCTCTCCGACAGAATTTGTTTGGTCACTTCAATTATGTAGTGGTAGTTGGTTGAAGCAGGATAGAAAATATCCTGGGGGCTTCAACTTAATGACGAAAGAGTTCTCCATGATTATCCGGCTAGGATAAAACGATTCAAGTCGCAGAATGTTTAGTCAGCGATCGAAGTAAAAGACCTTAAATGGCTGTTATCGTGAACCACGGGGTTAGTGCTTTTAAAGGGTTAGTGCTCGATTGATGCTGGTATGTTTTGCTCCATCAACAGGAGACACACACTTTACTTTTCGTGGTATGCTGAAATAATTCTGTTGTGTTTCGTCATTCTTTAATATTCTGGTTTCTAATTTATGCACTGGAAAATTTTCTTTTCATTATTTTTTAATTTAGTTGACAAGGAGGGTAATGTATGTATATCGATACTGCATGAACCGGGCGATGACCGATGGGGTTACGAGAAGCCAGAAGAGAGGTGGTTACCTGTGCATACCGTAGAAACAATTCTTCTTTCTGTTATATCGATGCTTGCAGATCCAAATCACGACTCGCCTGCAAATGTTGATGCCGCGGTAAGGTTTTTTGATTTTTGGTATAATTGATAGGGATTATAAATTCGAACCGTAGAGATTTACCAGTATGGAAATATCCAAGTTTTTTATTACAGTTTGAGAGTGACAACAACAGATCAATACTGAAGCATGGTTTGACATGTATTTCATAACCTTCATACCTAGAAACGTAGAAGACACACTGCGGCATAGTGACATGTGATGGTATAATTTGGTGATTGATATTGTGAGCCTATTTCGAATATTCCATTCATGGTCCAGCTGCAGATGTGTTTCTTCTGAGCTTTAAGTTTGATAAAATTCATTTTTTTTACTTGCATAAACTAAAAATTTGCGTTTCCTTCTAGAAGATGCAACGTGAAAATTTTCCTGAGTTCAAGAAACGTGTAGCAGCCTGTGTTCGAAAGAGTCAAGAAGAGGGTTGTTGATTATGGGTAGTGGATTACTGTCCACTCTTTTTACCCTCTCTGACGATAATTGTTAGAGCTGTGAGTTATAATTTTCGTTATAAAAATTTGTTTTTCTTCTCATCATTTCAGTTCACGTTACATCATTTTACAGGTCTTAATAAAGATGTGCAAGATGTGATCCGTTCTTATTATCGATGATGACATGTTACGTTTATTGCTTTGTTTCCTTTTTTTGTGCGGTTTTTCGTTTATTTTGAAATATAAATGTGCTTGAAAGGTTGGTGTTTTTAACATCTGAACAAGTAGCTGAATGTAGTAATGCAGTTGTGTGAGTTTGAGTCATATCAGGGGACACTCATATGAGGGTGTAGTGATGAGTGAAAATCAGTTACCATACGCAGTATTTAGCTGGACATTTTCTATTACCATTAACCATGCACAAAGAATATGCATGAGTTCTAAAGTATGTTGAGCCTTACAGAACTCAACAAAAAGCTACTTCTGATAAGGCAGTTTTCAATCTCTGTCGAGGTTCTTGATTCCTTCTCTTTTCAGGTATTTAATTAAATTTAAAATATAAACTGGTGATAGGTTCATCTTAATCTCAAAATGCAGTAGGAAGTTTCCTTTCCAACTTTTTACACAACTGCAGTACATCTTTTACATTTTGTGACACAGTGTAGTCAGGTCGATTCATTAATGTCTAGAAGAGTTCGAATAAGATCTGCTGGATGTGTGGGTGGCGTGAACTCGTCAACCACTGAGATATGCTCACAATAGAGCAATATGAATTCTGCATAATTGACGATACGCTCGTCTCGATTTGACAAATGCGGATAAAAGATGGAGCAATGACGTGATAACCAATATCGATAAATACTATCCAGACTAGAAGCAAAACTTAACTCTCCATTCTTCCGACCTGGAATATAGTTTACAATAAAATAAGAAAGTTTGTAGCATGACCAAAGTTCTCCTATCAGTGTAGCACTTATTGTAATTTGTCTAAAACATACATACTCATTCTATTTCATTAGCAAATCAACTAATAGTCTTGGTTGAATGGAAAAAGAATTGAATTTCAGGAATACTAATTTTGTTGGAAATTCAACTTAATTGTAATTTGGGAGAAATCATTAGCTATATAAGTAAGATTGTCAAGGAGTTACAAAAGAAAAGTATTGGGCTAAAATTGAAAAACCACCATAGACCCTGAAAAGAACGGTACCCAGTCTGCAAAGAGCGTAACAGATTGTTAACCGTATCTCTTCACTGTCTAAATTACTGATATAGTCATCTCGTCTTGCTGATTGTATCACTTCATTTAACTGAAGAAAAATTTTCCTTATCATTTATGCAAATGGGAATCAATCTTTTTAATGCATCATAATAAAATATTCATTTTGAGAAGAAATGGGAATAAACTTGGATGAATTCAAAATTCTTACTAATTTCATAATTAGACAATTAGGGTTCAAAAAATAAACCTGCTTATGTTGATCTTCTGTGACATTTTGGTGAAAGAAAGAAAAAAAAGTTTTTTTTGAAAACGATAACTTCCCGTTATTCAATACATTGTATATCCGGAAAGAAACAATCCGATTTTCCTGATTTGTTAAGCTGTTCATGGCATTTACACGTAATGATTGAGAACTTTTTCCTTGACCTTTAAATCACGAAGAGGTGGTAGTTCTACAGTAATAGTACAATGAAATATGAAGAATGCTGGCCAGTAACGAGACAGAATTACAAATCTATCCGCCGGAGAGACAAAACTCATCAAAACCGTATCGAGTGGACGTCGAATTGCTTCGGCCAATATTTGTTCTTCTAAATTTTAACATATGGTCATTTTAATTTAAATTTAACAGTTTGCCATAGTTTTAACAACAAAATCCGGATCATCTACTGTCCATTCCAGTATATTCATATTTCAGGATGGTGTTATGGAGTTAACCGGAAAAAAGTATATTGGGACTAGGTTATTGCGCTATTCGAACTATCCAACGATTCAGTGAGTGATGTTCAGTGCATGTTGCTCATGTATTTGCATGCTGAATACTTTAATCCATGAGGACGATACTAATTACGCCAATAATCAACTGTTTTGTTTAGTTTACGGTAGCATAAATGATTTTGTCAAGAAGACATTAGCCCAGTTTCTTTTTTTTTTTTTTGTATGAAGTTGTTCTGGATGTTGAAAATTTATATTTTGTTAAACAATTTAAAGTATTAGAACTGTGAAAGATAGAACCTATTACTACTTCTTCAGGACCATATCCATGAATATGTTAATTAAGGCAATAAATATCGGATAGATTTATTATGGGTATGGAAAATTTACTTCCCGCATACAACAAATATCTCAATAATGGGAAAAATTTAAGGAATCATTTAGTATGAATTTTCTATTATTAATTATTTCGTATACTCTTTTATTCAAAAGAAAAATTAATACTGTTAGATTAATCGATCAATTCTGATATTCAAATTCTTCATGGAACTTACTTTTCCCAATAAATGAATACTCCTTCAACAATTTTAATCGTTTATCTCCACGTGGACCACGTTCTTTCTGTACGGCTACAATTATTCTTTGTTATAATTTAATGAAGTAAATTATGTTATATTATTGCATAATCTTAAAATACTCCCCAGAATAAAGGAGAAATATTAAATGGTATGATAATTCTTTAGATATTGTCGTTATTAAAAAGAGTTGGTCGGATGACGTTGATAAATTGAAATTCGATCAAATTTCAATACAACCGGAATCAGATTAATTTACAGTTATTATTAGAATTCGATGATAGTGCATACAAATATATTGTTACTATTAATAGATTCCGGTTATTGATTCTATGAAACTACTTAGTATTTTCAGTTACGTAACCTCATGTAATCATAAATGACGTTAACCTCACGTAATTTTGCTAATCCTATGTGAAATAACTGTACGTAGTGTAATCACGGAGTTATACAGGAGGTGAGCTTTTCCAGAAGGTTTCTTTAATCTTTTCAATCTCCACACGGATGACATTGAGTTACTAGAAATCGGATTCAGGAATTTCATCCCAGTAGACTTTGATGGTTAGTAGTAGTAAAATGCAAAGGAACATATTCCCGAAAGTTCCAGGTAGGTCAAAAAGACACTAATGATGAAGTGATCCGAATTATTAACATTTCCTATGAAATTGTTCTGGATGTTGAAAATTCTATGCTATCTGTAAACGGATTAATGAATAGCAATGGGATTTGAAAAGTCAAAGAAATGACATCTTTCTTTTTAGAAGTGAAATTCAAAAAAAAAAAAACTGGACAATGATTTCTTAATTTGTCAACAGTTGTCCAATATTTCATACCTACCATTCCGGTTCATTTGCATTTGAAAGCATTTGCGCAATCGGCATGAAGGACACCAATTCCGGCGTGTTTTATCAACCGGACAGTTATTATTACCAGCTGGAATTTCATACATACAATAACTTACAAAAATTTACACAACAACAAAATATTATATCATCATGTAGCAAGTATTGCAGAAAGTAATATGAGATATTTTATACTTAAAGATAGAAAATATCGATTGATTTTTAAAATTTTAAAGTATTTAATGTTCAAAAGTAGATGTTATCAATCAATATTCATAATCTTTTTGTTATATTTCATGCAATACTTCCTGGAATAGCGAAATGTTTCACGATAACATTTGCCGGAATCATACGAAATAACTATGTGATTAACACAGGTGTGTCATATCACGACACTTTGTGACAATCTGTATGGTAAAGTGGAATGACAATGTAGTAAGTATTATGAAGACAAAGAGTCACTGATAAATATGTGATAAGAAATAATTCCCTTTCATTACTATCACATTTATCACAAACAAGCAATTATGTGATAAAAACTTACAAACACAAGTGTAGCTAATGTTGCGTCTAATGCTGTAAAAAAAAAAAAAAAAATGATATTCTGAAAAAGGTATTCATAAATTAGCTTGTAAATTCATAAGCATATTATCATCAGGTATGGAAATATACTTTTTTCAATAAAACTTTTATAAAGTGAAATTGTATTTTCGGGTAGCGTAAGTAAGTAAGATTTCATTGTATATTAATGAATTAGAATTAACCAGGCTTAATTGATTGATGAACTGATCGAAATGATTTGATAGCATGATATTTTGAATAATTTCCATGAGGCCAATTTAGCGTATCGTTATAATGAGTGGACGAATGAATTTGATAATAGTGGTGGTCATTGGTCGAAAATTTTACTACCAAACAAATTTTAATTGTAAAAATTTTAATTCTCACTAATAACCGAAAAAAAACATACCTTCGTTTGAAAAAGCAACTACATCCATCACATGTCCACAGACCATAATGTCGGCCAGAACTTTTGTCACCACATATTTGACAAATAATTTGTAAAAATTCATTATGCCCTATAAAAAAAGGATGGAGAAAAGGATCTTGTTTTCATTCTAAATTTTTGATTTCAATTCTAAATTTTTGATTTGATTAAATTTTAAAAATTTATCCATAAAAGATCTTTATTATTGATAGCATTTACAAAAAATTTCTCTTTGAAATAAAACAATGTTGTGAAATGTGTGTGTAATGATAGATAAAATAAAAATTGATAACAAAAAAAAAAATATTAACTCATTCTTCTTCAAGTTTGTATTTACTTTATCGTTCAAAAAAACGATTTACTCTGAAATATTCGGCAAATTAATCTCCTTTAATGTAAAATAAAGAAAAAGTGTAATTTGATGCGACAGATATCAAATGGTATGACAAAATTCGATAATCGAAAAACAGAAACATATCAGTGAAAAATGGGAATAATAATTTTATTCCAAATCAAATTATAAAGTTTATCAAAAATCTACAATTCTTAGTATGTAACTCATCTTTTTGCACGTTTCAGGAATATTCTGAATATTTTATACAGTATCATTCTTAATCTAATAAGACTTTTACTTCTCTAGGGAAAAAATTTGCAATAATATTGCAAAGATATGAAAATTATTTAAAAAGTTATCAAGCAAACATTGGTTTTTATCATTATGAAACCAGTAATGTCTTCCAATTTTAATTGATTTCAAGAATTTCGATAATTCGATTAGACGACGAATTTCGACAATTCGATTAATATTAATAACAAATCTATTTAACCACGCAATAATTTCAAAGTGTTTTTTTTCTCCAAAAATCACAATTTCGTAATTTTTCCAAAATAAATTCATTTTAAAATCAATACGTTTACATGCTATTCGTCAATCAAAAGAAAAAGAAAAAAAAATGAAAACACTTATCAGTTATTACAAATGAAGTATAGATAAATGATAATTGTAGAATTTGGTTGTTTAAACAAACTAGTTACTCTTTTTTGAATTATTGGTCAACTCAGAATTTACTCCTGGATATCAGAGCAATCTAGACTTTCCTCTTCTATCTAGTTATATTGCTAATGGAAGAAATAAGTTCAATTTTAATTTTATTTACTCATTCCATACGAAACATTTATTCATTACCCTTCTCATTTTTAGTATTTTCCCTCTTATTATCAATTTAATCATTAGGATTATTTTAGTATTACTCCAATGATTTGGCTATTTATAGATCTGATCCTCTATTGATAAAAAGAGGTAATAACACATATCATATTATTTTACTTAATATCTATCTTTTAGCTTTTATTTTATGAAACGTTTAGTTTCAGGAATGATAGTAATACCTTATACTTATTGCACTAAAATGTAATCATAAGAATTATAAGGCCAATGAGAATGTCAAATGACAAGATTCAAGATAAGGTAAATTGAAAAGGCATTTGCTTATTGAAACTAAGAATTGAAATAGCCTACTTTCTGTTGATTTTCCCATGCCTTTCTATTTGTTTGTTCACTTTTGCCATACAAAGAATATCCAATTAAAAGTTGAATATGACGGTATAAATTGTATCACCTCTCCTCTATCCTCCTTTTTCAATTAAATAACGGAAAAGAAAAATCACACCCTGGTATCACTTCTACATTCTATATAGCAATAATTTTGTAAAAATCTAACTTGAAGTAAAAAAAAATTAGTAACATTTATATTTGCAAACTTGAATCTGAAATTATTGTTTAATTCTATCCTGTCTTCTTTTTTTTTCTTCCCGAATATACATCATCAATGAAGTGTCACCCTTATCACATATCTGTACATCATTTGCTATTATTGCTCTTTACAATCCTTCACAAAAAAAAAAAAAAAAAAACGAATGTTAATTTACATATGAATACACATGCATGCATAAGAATGATATAACAATAATATGCAATTTTGAGCATTCCTTTGTCTCTACGCTTCTTTTCATTTTTGTTTTCCGGATTTCAAATTCGTTTCACTCGTTTTACTGGTTGCTGTTAATCTTATATTCACTAGAATTCTGTTTGTCGCCTTTAGATTCCGGTTTATCTTCTTCAGATTTTGGTTTATCTTTTATAGATTCCGGTTTATCGCTTTTAGATTTCTGTCGTTTCTCTTCTTCAGATGTTGGTTTGTCTGGTTTAGATTCCGGTTTATCTCTTTTGGACTTATGTTTACTTGGCTTAGATTTCCTACTTCTCTTCGATTTCTTCTCTTCCAATACTCTTTTATTCATTAGATTCTTGTGTAGATTTTCAAGGACACTCGGAATTTCGATCTTTTTATCTTTGCTTTGGACAGCTGCTACCATTCTAAAAGCATCTAATAAATTTGCCAGTTTTTTTTCCTCAAAGACTAGCGCTATAAAATCTATCTAGCTGTTATACCACAAATCCATCTAACCCGATATTATCATATCAAAGACATGACATGATCACATCATATCGATCGATCCAAAAATTTTAAAGGAGATAAAGGGGTAAATATTATCAGAATATGGTAAGAGAATCCAACTAAAAGCATCAAGTTATGTGAAAAGTAGGTAGGAATATACATCTCGCAGTTTTTTCACCTGGGTATGTCCTCATTGATAAATTGATCCAAATTATGCATCATTTCCTCGTCCACTTTGTTCCACCCTTTGATATATGATAAATGGGCCTTTTCCAGAAAGAGCTACAAAATAACGCATCATGCAGATCAAGAATATTGCATGCGGAAGCGCAAACATGTCACGAGACATTGCTGCAAGATAAGCACTTCCAGCGTTTATTGATATATGACTTGTTGTGCTTTCATTGGATATAACATCGTATTTTTATGGAAAAAAAAAAGATAAAATATTGCAATAACAGCAAAGATAGAGAGTTTTTTCCGCTTTATTTTCCTATATTTTACCAGAAATTTTTACGGATGAAAAAGGGAAAGTTAAAATACTGGTAGAATATACCAGTACCAGTATGTCGGGTAAATCGCTTTCTGCAACACGTAAACGATACTTGAAATCACCCAATATTTGAAGCAAATTACGTTGTGTTACAACACGCTTCAGTTCACCACTTGACTTACACCACATCTGAAGAAAATAAAAAAGGTTATAAGTTGAGTAACATTTCTCATTAGAACTATCTCATCCGATATCTCCCGGCAATACATCGATTATCCGCTACACTGCCATAAAAAGATGCTGATATTTTGCGATTTGGCTAAACTATTTAGTTTAGTTTACCTGATTAAACTAGACTATTTGACTGATTAGACTATCTGTAATCAAAAAAAAAAAAAATGCTTTAATTGATCGAAATTTGCATAAAGTAAAACTCAAAACTTGTTCCTACAACCATAAGGTACCATATAACATCATTAAGATGTCAATAAATATTCCTGAGACATATCAAAATTCTTCCAAATTGATATTTTGGTAGAATCACAGTCAAAGGAATGAGTTGGCTTAATGGTTAGAGAGTATATAAACGAACGATCGTACACGACATCCACTCATGTCAACTATGAAAAGATATATTGCGCCGCACAAAATGATCGATGTATACGGTGGCAAAGAAATTTGATGTTGTATAAAGTATGCATACCTTCTTCAGAAGATATTCCATAATAAGCGCATGAATTTTTAATTTCTTGGCACGTTTGATTATATCGTTTAGCTTACGTACATTACAACTCGATGGTAATAATTTTAATTCATCGAAGAAATCAATATATTCTTGAGTGAAAATTTGATGCACTTCGGAACTCTAGATGTAAACTTATTTGAACCATAGAATGCTTGAAAAGTAAATTTCAGGATATGAGGGATTAAATTCCACATTGAATTCGTTGCCAAATTTTCTCTTAGATTTAAATGTCAATCGAAAAAACAACAAGAATACGAACAATTGAGTCTTTAGAATCGGCGGTACAAAAAGAACCGATGAAAACTTTAGGAACTTCTGGTGATTCAAGGATTCGACTTAAACTCCACATCAATGCACCTCTAACTCGAATAAGCTCTGCTGCTCCCACTTGGTCTGCTTTATTGAGCACTATTTTAATCTGAACATTGCATTTCATTTTTTCTCAAATTATAAAGATTGAAAGAGAAGGAAAAAAAACTGGCAACTGCAAGAGAATCGATATTTTGCATTGCTAAACATTGAAATACAACAGTAGAACAACATGTTTAAAAAATGTAGATAAAGAAAATTAAGTTATTAAAACTAAAGAAGCGACACTTACGACATACTTTTTCTTCGTTACCTTTGAGACATTGTATCACTTGCTTGTATTCATCACTGATATCCAATTTTGAAGTATCAAAGAGAAGGACGATCATATCAACCTGTATATTGATTCCAATCTTATTAAAATCAGAAATTTCATATCAATAAAGAAAATGCATGCAATCATAATATATCGTTGGAAAAATTCAAATGAAATGATCTCAAATTCGATCACATTGCACCTTTCCAGCAATGTAATTTACAACAGATGCAAAATCATAGCCTCGAGAAGAACGCTGCTTTTGACCCGACAATATTCCGGGTGTATCCATGAAAGTAATGTGTTCTAATAATTTGACCGGAAGTGTTGCACCACGCATTCGTGTCAGGAATGCCGAACCGAACATATTTAATGACTGCAATGCAATCATGTCACAATTTTTGTTTTTCACTGTCTCATTTCTGCATGTATCAAAATGATTTATAAAAATTTTAGAGAAAAATATTTTCGTGAAAAGTGACACCTTTAAATGACAATTTTAGGTGAATACGACCGCACCAGTTACCTAAATACGGTCTACAATATAAATGGTAAAACCGTTCCGTTTACTCCATAGAGACAATTAGAAGATTTGTTGGACAAATCGCCTAGAAACAGTTCAACCAAAGAGATGAAACCTGAAATGGCAATGTGTTATCAGATGCAAGTGATGTTCCCATAACAGTAGTTGCATTGGCGGAATGATAGATAACTGTGAAACAATCCGTCGTCGGTTCCGGTCCAATCATGCTACCTGGATATTCCACTCCGTTCAAGAGAAATTTGATCATCGATGTTTTACCAACCGAATACTTGAACAAATTGTATACATTCATTTTTATCACGATTAGCAAAACTAAACATATGTTGGCTTGTCACTTATCACTTGCCAAATAAATCATTTTAATTTATTTAATAATTGATGAATTGATAGTTAAAAGTTGTGAGCCAAATGAAACGGAAAACTAACCTGTCCAAGGAATAGAACCATTGGTTTAGCCTCAAATTCAGCACGATACAGTGCTGGGGTATAAAACTGATCATAGATATGTCGTTTTTCCATCGGTAACATCTTTAATTTTTGCTTTTACAAAATTAGAAATATGAAATTATTGAAGGAAAAAAAAACTTTTCCTTTCCTATTGCCACATTAAATGATGTGCTAAGAAATGAAAATTTCTATTTTATCCTCTAATTTTAATTGGTAATTTTTCATTCTATCATTAAAGAGTACTTCCTCATAGGTGAAACATTTAACTAACAAAACATTCTTTCTTTGTATTTTCTGGAGGAAAAAAAAATCAAAGAATTTAATAAAGGTATTTACCTTTTGTTCATAGTTCAAGTAAAGTACTTCGGCAATGTTATCCCTGGTTGGCAATGGTAATGGTGCCTAAAAAGTAACATTAATAGTATATTTCAATATAAAACTAAAATTCAATACGTTAAGTGACTAAATGAAGAGTTTTCATTTGTCAATTAATTGTTAAAGTGCAAGAACTTATCAGTAAAGTGATTTCATTGCGTTCATTTACTTTTCAAATTTCAAATTTTCAATTTTAGAATCAATTAGACAATTCTATGGTTGTAAAATGGAGGAAAAAGAAAAAGAAACTGTTATTAAATTCATCCAAAAGGAAAATCCACTAAACTGACCAATGGAATTGCTTTTTTTCGAAATAATCTCTATTTTTTTTTTAACAACCAATGATTTTAAACAAAACCGCTTAATAACTTTGAAATGAACAAAATAGTTAATTCAAGAAAACTTCAAAATGTATTTATAAAT